CAACTATATTGTCGAAGGCTTTCATGGCTGGAATCACTAGGTTCTTGTGGTTTTTTCGGGCTACCTCACTACCTCTGAGGATGCTTGCCATAGATGCAGGCGAAACGTCAGGAGAAATGTCTCTAGAACATGGCCCTATAGCCCGAAAAAAAGATGGGCTCAAAGCCAACCTTAAAAACTCTGGCATAGACACTGAGAACTGGGAAGCCCTGGCGCTTGACCGCTCCAGCTGGAGGTCAGCTGTGACCAGCAGTGCTGCAAAATTCGAGGAGGCACGAGTGGAGGGTGAAAGAGAGAAACGTGCCAGGAGGAAGGCGCGTCAAGCCAACCCCGACGGGGGCCGCCTTCCACCTGGAAACCAATGCCTTCACTGTGGGAGAAGATGCAGGTCAAGAATAGGGCACCACAGCCACCTACAAACCCACAAAAATAGTCATCAAAGAAGACCATCTTACTCGTCCAACGAGGGATCGCTTAAGTAAGTAAGTAAGTACTTCCTAAGACCATTACAACTGCCAACAATGATGGATCAGGACCACAATTTACACAGAGAGCCGGCATGACCCACTCTACATCCTGGTGCGGTTTGGAAGAATTTGACAATGGATGATGGGACTTGCAGTCACTTCACTCACTTCCTGAGACCCTCACCAATGACTGATCAAGACCAAACTTGGCACACAGAGTCCCCGTGACCCACTCTACATACTACTGCACTTTGGAGGAGGATGGACCATGGATGATGGGATTTGCAGTACCTAAACTTACTTTGTGAAACCACTGTGACCCTGAACCAAACTTGGCACACAGAGCCACCATGACCCTATCTACATTTGGAGGAGGGTGGATCATGGATGATGGGACTTGCAGTACCTTCACTCACTTACTGAAACCACTACAATCCTCATCCAATGACTGATGAAGACCAAACTTAGCACACAGTGCCCCCATGACCCACTCTACATCCTGCTGCAGTTTGAAGGAGGAGGGACTTTGGATGATGGGACTTGCAGTACCTTCACTCAATTACTGAAACCACTGCGACCCTCATCCAATGACTGATAAAGACTTGTCACACAGAGCCCCCATGACCCACTCTATATCCAGCTGCTGTTTGGAGGATATAGTACCTTCAAGTACCTTCACTCACTTCCTGAAAACAATGCAGCTGTTATCCCATGACCAATAAAGACCAAACTTGGCATACAGAACCGCCATTACCCACTTTCTCTAATAAGCTAGTATATAAATAAAAATGTAATGTTCGTTTGTGAGATTAACGTAATGAGGGATTGCCTAAGTAAGTAAAGAGCAGAACTCAAACATATTGTAAACAATATAAAAACTCCATAAAATACACAGACGAAAAGGACGCACAGTGAAACGTGTTTCTACGTAATCTATATAAATAAAAATGTAATGTTCGTTTGTGGGATTAACAGAACTCAAAAACTACTGGACGAATTGACACCAAATTTGGACACAAGACACCTAACAACCCAATGTATGTCCTTCACTCAAAAAAATTGATTTTGTCATTTGGGAGTTGTAGTTGCTGGGATTTATAGTTCACCTACAATCAAAGAACATTCTGAACCCCACCAAGGATGGAATTGAACCAAACTTGGAACACAGTTCTCCCATGACCAACAGAAAACACTGGGAGGGTTTGGTGGGTAGTGTCCTTTGGTTTTGGAGTTGTAGTTCACCTACATCCAGAGATCACTGTGGACACAAACAATGATGGATCTGGACCAAACTCTACACGAATACTCAATATGCCCAAATGTAAACACAGGTGGAGTTTGGGGAAAATAGAAGCTTGACATTTGGGAGTTGTAGTTGCTGGGTGTGACGATGTGTAACTTTTATTGTTATGGTTATGTGTTTAAACAGTAGTTAATAAATGGTAAAAAACATTAAAAAAAGAAACATTAACAACCTCAGATATGCAGATGACACCACTCTGATGGCCGAAAGCGAGGAGGAGCTGAGGAGCCTTCTAATCAAGGTGAAAGAAGAAAGCGCAAAAGCCGGGTTGCAGCTAAACGTCAAAAAAAGCAAGATTATGGCAACAAGAATGATTGACAACTGGAAAATAGAGGGAGAAACCGTGGAGGCCGTGACAGACTTTGTATTTCTAGGTGCAAAGATTACTGCAGATGCAGACTGTGCCCAGGAAATCAGAAGACGCTTACTTCTTTGGAGGAGAGCAATGTCCAGTCTCGATAAAATAGTGAAGAGTAGAGACATCAGACTGGCAACAAAGATCCGCCTAGTCAAAGCCATGGTATTCCCTGTAGTCACCTACGGATGTGAGAGCTGGACCTTAGGGAAGGCTGAGCGAAGGAAGATCGATGCTTTTGAGCTGTGGTGTTGGAGGAAAGTGCTGAGAGTGCCTTGGACTGCGAGAAGACCCAACCAGTCCATCCTCCAGGAAATAAAGCCCGACTGCTCACTGGAGGGAAAGATACTAGAGACAAAGTTGAAGTACTTTGGCCACATCATGAGGAGACAGGAAAGCCTAGAGAAGACAATTATGCTGGGGAAAATGGAAGGAAAAAAAAGAGGGGCCGACAAGGGCAAGATGGATGGATTGTATCCTTGAAGTTACTGGCTTGACCTTGAAGGAGCTGGGGGTGGTTACGGCCGACAGGGAGCTCTGGCGTGGGCTGGTCCATGAGGTCACGAAGAGTCGGCGACGACTGAACGAATGAACAACAACAACATAAATGGTAAGTATGTAGGATTATATTTTGTTAGAGATGGTGGCTGGTGGCTTGAGCTGAGTTGCCATAGCAACAGGGGCGGAGCCAACTGCCAACTGCCTCTTCACGGGGCAGCTGTTTGAAAGTGGCAGTCTGTGACCGTTAGTGTTACAGGGAAGACTGAATCTCTGGGTGGAGATTCAGGGAATTAATTGGTGACCAAAGGGGTTACAGGAAAGGACCTGGTAGTGATAAAACTACAGGGGGTTATTGATTCTGGGTTAAGAATCAAGGTTTGGCTGGGAGCCAATTCAGTTGAATAGGCCTTTTAGCTTATTTTTTTTTGTTGGGACAGTTGTCCAGAAGAGATACATCTGCTTATAGAAACCTCTTGAAGTCTGTGCCTGAGGTTACTCATGAAACCTTACTAATGTAACCAATCAAGATTCGTGCCTCTTGTGAAGAAACAATTGAACATGTTATAAAGGTAAAGGTAGTCCCCTGACATTAAGTCCAGTCATGTCTGACTCTGGGGTGTGGTGCTCATCTCCATTTCTCAGCTGAAGAGCCAGCGTTGTCCGTAGACACCTCCAAGGTCATGTGGCCTGCATGACTGCATGGAGCGCCGTTACCTTCCCGCCGGAGCGGTACCTATTGATCTACTCACATTTGCATGTTTTCAAACTGCTAGGTTGGCAGAAGCTTGGGCTGACAGCGGTAGCTCACGCCGCTCCCCGGAATTGAACCTGCGACCTTTCGATCAACAAGCTCAGCAGCTCAGTGCTTTAACCCACTGCGTCACCGGATGTTATACTCCTGTTAAAATAAACTTGTTACTGTTTTCCTCAAGCCTTGCCTGATACAGTTTCTCTTAAGTCAAACAGCCTGCATAAGAAATAAAGTCAAACCAGGGACAGTAAACGCTACGCTATCAAATAAATAAATACTTCTGCAAATAATAGTCCCTTTATAAACCAGCTCATAAGCTGATATTGATCATTGCCCGGCTTTCCTCACAGATTAGGTGGCAGTAGTTTTACCCTCCTTTGTTGTTGTTGTTCATTCGTTCAGTCGTCTCCGACTCTTCGTGACCTCATGGACCAGCCCACGCCAGAGCTCCCTGTCGGCCGTTACCACCCCCAGCTCCCTCAAGGTCAGTCCAGTCACTTCAAGGATGCCATCCATCCATCTTGCCCTTGGTCGGCCCCTCTTCCTTTTGCCTTCCACTTTCCCCAGCATAATTGTCTTCTCTAGGCTTTCCTGTCTCCTCATGATGTGGCCAAAGTACTTCAACTTTGTCTCTAGTATCCTTCCCTCCAGTGAGCAGGCGGGCTTTATTTCCTGGAGGATGGACTGGTTGGATCTTCTCGCAGTCCAAGGCACTCTCAGCACTTTCCTCCAACACCACAGCTCAAAAGCATCGATCTTCCTTCGCTCAGCCTTCCCTAAGGTCAAGCTCTCACATCCGTAGGTGACTACAGGGAATACCATGGCTTTGACTAGGCGGATCTTTGTTGCCAGTCTGATGTCTCTACTCTTCACTATTTTATCGAGACTGGACATTGCTCTCCTCCCAAGAAGTAAGCGTCTTCTGATTTCCTGGCCACCGTCTGCATCTGCAGTAATCTTTGCACCTTAGAAATACAAAGTCTGTCACGGCCTCCACGGTTTCTCCCTCTATTTTCCAGTTGTCAATCATTCTTGTTGCCATAATCTTGGTTTTTTTGACGTTTAGCTGCAACCCGGCTTTTGCGCTTTCTTCTTTCACCTTGATTAGAAGGCTCCTCAGCTCCTCCTCGCTTTTCGGCCATCAGGGTGGTGTCATCTGCATATCTGAGGTTATTAATGTTTCTTCCAGCAATTTTCACCCCAGCCTTGCATTCATCCAGCCCCGCACATCGCATGATGTGTTCTGCATACAAGTTAAAAAGGTTGGGTGAGAGGATGCAGCCTTGCCGTACGCCTTTCCCAATCTTGAACCAGTCTGTTGTTCCGTGGTCAGTTCTGACTGTTGCTACTTGGTCCTTGTACAGATTCTACACTGGGATTTATAGTTCACCTACAATCACAGAGCATTCTGAACCCCACCAACAATAGAACTGGGCCAAACCTCCTACACAGAACCCCCATGTGGGCCACAGCAATGCGTGGCAGGGGACAGCTAGTACACATTAAAATCAAAACAGAAGGCTCAGAGTTTGAAACCTGTGCTGAGAACGGGATGGGAAGGTGAAGGCGGCTTCTGCGAGGAAAAGGAGGGAGAGAGAGAGAGAGAGAGTCCACCATCCTCACCTTCTGCTTCTTCTCCTTCCTGGCAGAAATGGCGTCAACCAAGGGGGCGTGGCCTGGGTGACGTCGGCGTCTCTAGGACGCCAAAGGGGCGGGGCCTGCCCGACTGGATTGTATATTCCAACATGGCAAGAAGGGGAAAGGGGAGGGGGGCACACTAGATGGTATTCCGGGTCCCTTCCGAACCTCATATAGACTTCCCAGGAGTCTGGTGGAGTGAGTCTCCTTCTCTAGACAAGAAGCACTGCCTGAACATCAAGCAAAAAGTGGGTGCCAGAAACAATATCATAGGAAAGCTGACTGGCACAACCTGGGGATCACAACCAGACACAGTGAAGACATCTGCCCTTGCGCTGTGCTACTCTGCTGCTGAGTATGCATGCCCAGTGTGGAACACATCTCACCACGCTAAAACAGTGGATGTGGCTCTTAATGAGACATGCTGCATTATCACGGGGTGTCTGCGCCCTACACCACTGGAGAAATTACACTGCTTAGCCGGGATCGCACCACCTGACATCCACCGGGAAGTAGTAGCCAATAGTGAAAGGACCAAGACAGAGACATTTCCAGTTCATCCCCTGTTTGGGTATCAGCCAGCACATCAACGACTTAAATCAAGACATAGTTTTCTAAGATCTACAGAGACACTCGCTGGAACACCTCAGCAAGCGAGAGTCCAAAAGTGACAGGCTCAAACCCAGAACCTCAACCTACCTACCTGCCTGACCTGCGTGACCGCATCTCTGTCTATGAACCCACACGCTCACTTCGCTCATCCGGAGAGGCCCTGCTCGTGATTCCGCCTGCGTCGCAAGCGCGCTTGGTGGGGACTCGAGACAGGGCCTTTTCTGTGGTGGCCCCCCAACTCTGGAACACCCTCCCCAAAGATCTTAGACAGGCCCCTACATTGGCAGTCTTCAGAAAGAACTTGAAGACCTGGCTGTTCCCGATGTGCCTTCTCAGATTAGGAATCTCCAATACCAAGTCCCAGAAACACTTTAGTAGAACTAAGATTGCTGCACACCACACACTGCACTTATTTTATACACACCTCCTGCCACATCAGCACTTTTAATCCTGTACCCATTACTCTGGCCCGGCCCAGTTTTATAGTGTCTTGATGTATTGTTTATTGCTTGTTGTTTATACTGCTTAACTGTTTTTAATTTGCTTTAGGTGTTGTATTGTTGTGTTGTGTTTTGAGGCCTTGGCCTTTGTAAGCCGCATCGAGTCCTTCGGGAGATGCTAGCGGGGTACAAATAAAGATAATAATAATAATAATAATAATAATAATAATAATAATAATAATGGCTGATACCAGATGAGAGACTTCCCCTTGGGAACACAGAGGACTGAGCGACTTGGAAGGCGCTGAACAGACTGCGCTCTGGCACCACGAGATGCAGAGCCAACCTTCAGAAATGGGGCTACAAAGTGGAATCCACAACATGCAAGTGTGGAGAAGAGCCAACCACTGACCACCTGCTGCAATGCAACCTGAGCCCTGCCACATGCACCATGGAGGACCTTCTTGCAGCAACACCCGAAGCACTCCAAGTGGCCAGATACTGGTCAAAGGACATTTAACCAACTACCAAACTCACAAATTTTGTATTTTTCTGGGTTTTTTTTGCTTTGTTCTGTTAGAAATGTAATATAATCGACTGGTTGCACTGACACGGTAAATAAATCTAGACGTCTGTGGAACGAAGGCTGAATGGCTATGTCTTGGGTAGGCTGGGATTGTCTATCTTTCTGCAGGGCAAGAAGAGGGGGGTCAGTTTAGATGACCTTTGAGATCCCTTCCGAATATAATATGGAGACTTCTTTGGAGTTTGGCGGTGTCTCCATCTCTAGAACTCTTTAAATCAAAGTTGAGGAGATTTGGATTGTGTGTCTTTCTGCCTAGCAAAAGGGGCCAGACTAGATGCCCTTTGAGGCCCCTTCCAAACATCCTCACATAGACCTTCTTGGAGGGAACAGCGGTGGAACAGCGGCCGGGTTGTTATCTCCTGGGCAGCCTTGGACTATGTGTCTTTCTGCCTGGCAGAAGGGGTCAGATTAGATTTATTGATTTGTCGTTGTCAGGGAAACCAGCCAGTTGTATTACATTTCTAACAGAGCAAAACAAACAAACAGACAAAATACAAAATGTGTGAGTTTGGTAGTTGATGTCAAAGGACATTTAATCAACTACCAAACTCACAAATTTTGTATTTTGTCTGTTTTGCTCTGTTAGAAATGTAATACAACTGACTGGTTTCCCTGATGTTGCTGCAAGGAGGTCCTCCCTTGTGCATGTGGCTGGGCTCAGGCTTCATTGCAGCAGGTGATCAGTGGTTTGCTCCTCTCCACACTCGCATGTCATGGATTCCACTTTGTGGCCCCATTTCTTGATGTTGGCTCTGCATCTCGTGGTGCCAGAGCACAATCTGTTCAGCGCCTTCCAAGTCGCCCAGTTTTCTGTGTGCCCAGGGGGGAGTCTCTCATTTGGTATCAGCCATTGGTTGAGGTTCTGGGTTTGAGCCTGCCACTTTTGGACTCTCGCTTGCTGAGGTGTTCCAGTGAGTGTCTCTGTAGATCTTAGAAAACTATTTCTAGATTTAAACCGTTAACGTGCTGGCTGAGACCCAAACAGAGGATGAGCTGGAAATGTCTTTGCCTTGGTCCTTTCACTATTGGCTGCTACTTCCCGGACAGAAGCGACCAGAAGTCAGATTAGATTACCTTTGTGATCCCGTCCAAATGTAATATATACTTCTTTGGTGGAGTCTCCATCTGTAGAGTTCTTTAAATCAATGGCTGGATGGCCATCTGTTGGGCAGACTTGAATTGTGTGTCTTCCTGCCTAGCAAAAGGGGCCAGACTAGATGCCCTTTGAGGTCCCTTCCAAGTCTCATATAGAATTCCTGGGAATTCTATATGAGACTGGCAGAGTCTCCTTCTCTTTGTTTATTCGTTCAGTCGTCTCCGACTCTTCATGACCTCATGGACCAGCCCACGCCAGAGCTCCCTGTCGGCCGTCACCACCCCCAGCTCCTTCAAGGTCAGTCCAGTCACTTCAAATCTCCTTCTCTAGAGTTCTGTAAAACAGAGGCTGGGTGACCAGGCTTGAATTGTGTGCTTTCCTCCCTGGCAGAAGGGGTCAGACTAGATGGCCTTTGGGAGGTGGTCTCCCCCACCTCCAGGTCTCTGTGCTATCCCCATGGGTCCCCATTGCCTTTTCTTCCTTCTCCCTCTCCCTCCTTTCTTGGAGCCACTCATACTTTGCAAAGCCTTGGCAACTGCTCAGGGATGTTTCAGGGATCCCAGTTTCCAAAAGCCCTACATCTCCCGGGGGAAAGTGCTTGGCACCTGGAGCTGCAGCTCATCCTTCCCTACTCGCTCTGCTGGTGTCTGCTGCTGAGGCTTCCATTGGGACATGTTCCCTGACATTTAAGGAGTCTGGTGGAGTGAGTCTCCTTCCCTAGGGGTCTGTGGAACTGAGGCTGAATAGCTATTTGTTGAGCTTGCTTGGGTTGTATGTCTTCCTGCATGGCAAGATGGGTGGAGGTCAGACGGTAGAAGGGGGTTGCCACAGAGTATGCCACAGCAACGCGTGGCCAGGTAAGGCTAGTAATCAAATAAAATTATAACAGCAAAATCTTGGAAAGGAGAAAAAGAGCTATTGCTAAAGGACTGGAGAGACAAAAGGATTGGAATATATCCCAATGGCCAAATTATCCCACGACATACGGGGAGGAAACAATGAAGATCTGAGGTTCCCTACCATAGATGCAGGTGAAACATCAGGAGAGAATGCTTCTAGAACATGGCCAAATAGCCCGAAAAACGTACAACAACCTAGCGATTCCAGCCATGGAAGCCTTGGACAATACAATGAAGATTTTGTGAAGAAATGAAGGCTTGCATTTGGATATCTAGAAAAGAAGATAAAAACTAGATTTCGGAGTTGTCACAGGGGGAGTTTATTAATGCAGAATAAGGGTGGGTTTTCTGTGACATTAGCGTCATTGTGAAGTCTCGGCCTAGTTTTTACTTCCCTGTTTGCTCCCTGGAGGTGGACTGTTCCATTCTGCTAAGTTTTAGAGTAGTAGCTTAGGATCCCCCTAGAGGCCGAGCTCGGTTGGTTCAGCCCAATCTGGCTCAGAGCCTGGTGGAAGGACCTTTTATTCCATTCTGTTTGGACATAGCTTTTAGTTTGTTGTTGTTGTTCATTCGTTCAGTCGTCTCCAACTCTTCGTGACCTCATGGACCAGCCCACGCCAGAGCTCCCTGTCGGCCGTCACCACCCCCAGCTCCTCAAGGTCAGTCCAGTCACTTCAAGGATGCCATCCATCCATCTTGCCCTTGGTCGGCCCCTCTTCCTTTTGCCTTCCACTTTCCCCAGCATAATTGTCTTCTCTAGGCTTTCCTGTCTCCTCATGATGTGTCCAAAGTACTTCAACTTTGTCTCTAGTATCCTTTCCCTCCAGTGAGCAGTCGGGCTTTATTTCCTGGAGGATGGACTGGTTGGATCTTCTCGCAGTCCAAGGCACTCTCAGAACTTTTCTCCAACACCACAGCTCAAAAGCATCTCTTCTCCTTCGCTCAGCCTTCCCTAAGGTCCAGCTCTCACATCCGTAGGTGACTACAGGGAAGACCATGGCTTTGACTAGGCAATGGATCTTGGTTGCCAGTGTGATGTCTCTACTCTTTACTATTTTATCGAGACTGGACATTGCTCTCCTCCCAAGAAGGAAGCGTCTTCTGATTTCCTGGCCACAGTCTGCATCTGCAGTCATCTTTGCACCTAGAAATACAAAGTCTGTCACGGCCTCCACGTTTTCTCCCTCTATTTCCCAGTTGTCAATCATTCTTGTTGCCATAATCTTGGTTTTTTTTGACGTTTAGCTGCAACCCGGCTTTTGCGCTTTCTTCTTTCACCTTGATTAGAAGGCTCCTCAGCTCCTCCTCGCTTTCGGTCATCAGAGTGGTGTCATCTGCATATCTGAGGTTGTTAATGTTTCTTCCAGCAATTTTCACCCCAGCTTTGCATTCATCCAGCC